GCCTGATTTTTTTCAAGTCTGATTTTCGCTATTGGATAAATAGCGCTATCTACTGCGAAGGATCGTGCATCATATGTATTTTTGGTTAAGTTGTATGTCTCTCCATTAGCAAACTAGTATTTCATAGTTTCTCTATATTCTAATGCATATTTTTGTGTACATCACTGAAAATGACCCTATTGAGACGTGGCTCGTTTCACGATAAAATTTTCAACTAGAAACTGTCTCGAGCTATTTATTTGTTAAGTTTTATTAAAGCGTAAGATAGTTTCATTTTGATGTATTTTTCTTATATGACCAATTTTAGTGTGCGTTTTCATCGCGTGGAATAAATGGGCTTTAAATTATTGATTGATGACTTTGGACAAATTCCAAACAGAGAAACAAACAGAGAAAACAATTTTTTTTAAGTGCTTTTTTATAGGGTGGAATAAACGCGCTTTAAATTATTAATTGTTAACTTTGCAAAAAGGAGAAAAAATTAGATGAACTGGGAAGTTCTTAAATGTCTTATCTACGTTGTAATTAAAGTTTGAAGTTTAACATAATCATCGGAGGATTCTCAAAAAATTAATTGTGTTTCGTTTACTTGGAACAGTTAGTAAAGACTTGCTGTCTGTGGAATTCATTAAAGATGCAGAAAGAGAGGCATTAATATTAAAGTTTGCAAGTTTCGCTTTTTTGTGTCTTAAAGCCCCCATGCTAGGAGTATTCAATCATCGCATAAATAGTCTACTCACATTTAATTAATAAACCCATGGCTCCTGTAACCACTGCATGCGGTGCGTAGAATTGTACTGTTCTAATTTTCCGCTCCCTAATTATCATCCTGACTGATCAATGACAACTGCAAAATTAAATAAGTTAAAGCAAGAAATTGTAAACTGCAATTCTATAATTTTATAGTTTACAACCCCTTGGTTAAAGAGTACAATAGGTAATTTACATTTAGCACTCCCTCAAAATTCAGGCTTTTAAAGATAAAAAACGCTACTCTGAACGAGAAACAATAAGATTAGTTTGTCGGTTACAATTATAGTTCTGCTCAAAGAAACCAAGCGAGTATTTTACAAAATTTTTGCAATATTTTATAAATATGCATGAAGGACTTATGTATTCTGACAATTAAAAAGTTAGCGAAGATTTAGTGTTTTTGAGAACATGTTTTGTGTCTCCTGCCCACGGTTTGTGTAATTAAGGAAACCATAAAAACATCACTCGTACCCTTAATTAACGAAATGCTGCTGGACCAACACTCAAGGTCTTAAAATAATTTAGAAGAATATGCTACCTTTCTATAACATCAAGAAATGGTTAGATAATCTAGTCTTCTCGGATAGGGACGAATTAATGGAGGTCCCGTCTCCTGCAGGGTTAGGGGTAGGAGACGTTACTTTCCCACGCACGAAATTACTGTGTGATGGATGTCCTCCCCTGGGGTAGGATGGATGGGTTGGGGTTTGTTTTAGGTGGGTGAACCTAGTAGGGGACTACGTGCCCTATTGTTCTCTCACCTGTACACTGTACAAATCTTCAAACAAACAAACAAATTTCTTATTACCATCAAAACATTTTTTAGCTTCATACTACTAATGGCTGAAAACTCCTATGTGGCCTACGCCTTGGTGAGACCTCCAATTTTATCCTTTCTTGAGATTAAAAGTCATTTTTATTCTATTCACCTCGTAACTCATTTACATTTCTACATCTAGCAGCCTGTGTTGTCAAGGTCTGTAGAACCCGTTTCAAACAAGACTCTTGCAAGACGTCATCATCAGCCGGTCAGCGCAGTATCTTTGCAATGTTTCCATTATAATATAGCGTTTTGGTTTGTTTTGACACCCACGGAAGTAGATGTCGTGCTGTTAGGACCAAGAGAATGACCATGTATTGGTTGGGACAGAACCATAGATGCTACTGGACGATAGATGGAGTTCTGCCATCGTCGGCTTATACTCCTTCACGAAGTAAAGAAAAAATGATTGCTAGATATAAAGATATTAAATATGTTAGTTGAAATCAACCTCGATGAGGACACAAAATCTCGTTATTAATTATTGAAGAAGAAGCCCTCCTGAGAGCAGCACATAAGGCAGAAATTAAAAGCAGTGATGGTTACCATAACAGTACAAAAAAACAGAAAGTCTAGAAGTATGATAAATATTTAAAAGCTTTATGTTTTATTGATCACCTTTGTTTCCAACACATTTAGTGTTGAGCATCATAGGCAACATGGTTGATAATGTTCGCCCTGCTCCAATATTCAACTCATGCATGCTTCACCCTCGATGTGTTTGCTTATTGCTTTTACTGATTTTGACATGTCAATGCAAAGGTATTGTGGCAGGAGGTGGGTTTTGTGATTGCCACATCCTTTTCTTAGAAAGAAGTTGTGTAAGACTTGTGAAGGTTGAAGCTTTTGACTTAGGGCATGTAAAATCCTCAATCGCCTCCATCCATTCACCAATTTATGGTTAAGTTTCCGTTATATATCCCTCCAATAGTAAACTAGGATTTCATAGTTTCTCTACATTCTAATGCATATTTTGCTGCACATCAAAAACATTATCCTGTCGTGGCCTGTCTCGTTTAACGATAAAATTTTCAACTACAAACTGTCTCGAGCTATCAAATTGTTGTCTTATTAAGCTTTTAAAAGAAAATTACATTATATACATACATATATGTATATGACTAATTTTTATAGCGAATTTTTGTCACGAGGAATAAACACGCTTTAAATGATTGATCGTTAACTTTGGAAAATTTCGAAAAAAAGAAAAACAGAAGGAGAAAAATTAGAGGACCTAAATATTTCTTAAAAGTCTTTTCTACCAATTGCAAGAAAATTTTGAGGTTTAACATAATCCTCGGATGATCGTCAAGAAATGAATTGTGTTTCGTTTACTTTTAACAGTTACTAAAGCTCCGCGGTCTCTGGAATAAGAATAAAGATTTACCATTATTATCAATCACCATCTTGACTGGTGAATGACAACTGCGCAATTAAATTAGTTAGAGCAAAAGATTGAGAACTCTATAATTTTATAGTTTATAACCTCTCGGTTAAAGAGTACAGTAAGTAAACTCCATTTAGCAATCCCTCAAAATTTAGGCTTTTAAAGATAAAAAGTGCTGTTCTGAACAAGGAACATTAAAATTAGTTTTGTCAGTTATATTTATGGTTGTACTAAAAAAAAACAATCCGAGTGTTTTCCAAAAGCTTTGTAATATTTTATTACTGTGCATATAGCTCTTACAAATTCTAACAGAAAAATATCGAAGGTTTATTGTTTTTGAGAACGTAGGATGCCTTCTGCCCACGGTTAGTACAATTAACGAAACTGTAAAAACATTATTTGTACCCATAACTCGCGAAATCCTGTCACTTTTAAGAACTTTCTCATTATCATCTGAAGATGTTTTAGCTACATACTACAGATGGCTGCAAACACCTATGTGACCTATGTTCATCAGCGGTAACTGCAGTATGATTAGGGAGACGCAATATTTTCCTCTTTTGACGTTACTAGTCATTTTTGTTCCAATCAACCTTTAACTCGTCTACATTTCTATATACAGAACCTTGCGTTACCAAGGTCTTTGTAGAACCTGTTTCAAACAAGGCTCTTGCAAACCATCTGATCAGTAGGGCGACGGTGGAATCACCAGATGCATGTATGATACAATGCTTTATCAAAATCAAGTGCGAATCGTACAACATTGGTCCCAGGGAGAAGGACGGTCACGTGTGTGAACTGAGTGACTCTGACTCTCACAGAGATCATATGGACTGGATCACAAAGGAAGGATTTTCATACGTCGAGACCTTGGTAAAAAATACCTTGCTTATTGGGGTTGATTTTTCGATGGATGTTTATCATTACTCTGTGATTTTTGTCGTTTTGCTACGTACATTTTTTCGAGCAGAAAATTCATCATGATTATCGTCATTATAATAATCATTATCATTAATTATTAGCAACTTCAGAGAAGTATTTACGGAAACTCAATAACATGGTAGGGCGCATAGACCTTCAAGAGGCCACCAGGCTTATAGGGAGGCCACCTCAGTTGTCAATGTGGGCAGCTTTGTTAAATCCAGACTAATTACAGCTACAATTCCATGGTTGGTGCTAGGAATGGATCTAGTCGAGCCAATTGCGAACATTCAGTCCAAAATGATATCATATTTGTTGGTGATCCATTGAAATTAACCTCAAGTAGCCATTTTTCTTCAAAGATATTATGCAAAAGCTTAATATCATCTTTCTCGTTGAAGCATTTAGACACTTCTCGATAAATACAGAAAATAATAAAATTAAATATAAGTAATATGAAAACCAAAGTAATTTAAAAGTTAAAATCAGAAAATATAGAAAAACAAATTTCAGGAGGCTCCAAGGGAAACTCGAAGAAAATAAGGGGAATCCCTCCGACGTGCTTGAAAACGTGGGAACAAATTCAGGTTGGGTTTAGTCTAATTTAGTTTTTCAATGTTGAGAAAAGCGGCTCGAAATATTTGAGTCCGCCATAACATCAAGTCGCGTGTCACTTAAGACGCTAATTTTTTTCAGTTTGAGCTAGCCATTTATCAAATAAACAAGTGTTTTTCCCTTTTTTTTAAACAGAACCCCTGTAGACAAGCTCAGTGTCCTTTAAATGGCCGTTGCTACTCGAACTTTGAAAATAACACTCACGCATGTGAGTGTACGTCAGGATTTACCAAAGAGAACTGCGAAGGTAATGTCAACTGCTATTGAAACAATTCTGAACTAGACTATATCTAAATTTGACGTGAACATATTCTATTCAGACATAGATGAGTGTAAGAAGAACCTTCATAGTTGTCACAGCAATGCCTTTTGTAATAACACGAATGGTTCCTACAGTTGCATCTGCAAGACAGGATTTCAAGGAGACGGAAAAGAAACCTGCCATGGCAAGTTTAATCAATCTTATTCTTCAAATGGAAACGCATTTAATATCTCACGTTCAAAAAGTAAGATTTCAATTCAACGGACAAACAATGGTTCCTAAGACTGTAATTATAATCCAGGATTTCATGGTGATGGAGAAGGCATTTGTTCATGTTCGAGCTTTTGTGACTACCTAATAGGATATTAAAATTCCTTTTTCACTGTTGATTATTCATTAGATTATGACGAATGTGTGTTAAACATCCATGACTGCTACAATGATGCCACATGAGACAACACAAAAGGATCTTACGAATATAGTTGTAGACCAGGATTTCGAGAGAGGAATCTGTAAATTACTCTCTCGTTTTTAATAGGGGGAAATTCATTCAATATTTTGAGCTTTAATCAATGTTCTAATGTATTTTAAATGACTTTCAACCAAGTAATTTGAGTAAACCAACTAAATCACAGCCTTTCATGTGGCGTAACAGATACACTCAGCCTCTTTCCTAAAAGAAACAGGCGTTGCTTTTCTTCAAATCTCACCGAATAAGCCTTTTATGAATGACATGCTTCTGATGCACATGCTTTTTAGACATCGATGAATGCATCGAGGGCATCCATGGGTGCCACAACAATGCATCGTGTACCAATACAAACGGCACTTACCGCTGCACTTGCAAACCAGGATTTGCTGGAGATGGAAGAAACAGCTGCCAAGGTAAACAAATCTTACGTTTACAGTTATAATCTGTAATCGTTTGACAAATATGATGTAATTATACTTGTTGCAGCTTTCACGTTTTTATAGTACATTTATGTCATCAAAAAAACTGTAGCAGAGACAATTTGATCCCTATTAAAGTTCCAGTACAAGTTTTAGCTTTGTCTTTTTTTATAAATTGTAGTCTCCCCAGGTTGGTTTTCCTATTATCCTGCCCATTCTTGTAAACATATCCGTGACTCTGGGGACCACAGGGGAGATGGAGAGTACTGGATTGACCCAGAGAAGAGTGGAAAACCTTTAAAGGTCCATTGTGACATGACAACTGATAAAGGTGAGAGGCAAAATAATATTACTTTCTAGTCAACTACAGCCTTCATCCCTTCCGTTCAAGCTTTTAATCGCACACACCCGTAAGGATACCATCCTTGCCTTTGAGTCTATGAATATTCCAAAATATTAAAAATGTAGTTTAATTCCGTCTGTTTTCATTACTGTAGATTGCGAATGATATCACTCGGTATTCAATCCACTTTTTTCTTTTTTTCAATTTTTAAATCAAATGAAAATGAATGTTTGTAAAGCCTTTTTAGTATGTGTCGTAATTGCGGTTTCTTCTGATATGGCTATTATAGAACAACTGAGCATGAGTCACACTGAAAGGCTTCACACCCAAACAATATCTTAACTTACCCATCTTAGCCGATGTGTAGTTTCAAAAGCTGAACAGATTTTCTTTTAGGAAATTCGTCCGTGCAGTCAAAATTCTCGGCATATGTGTATTGCACGCTTTAAGGGTTCGACAGAAGATTACGCTTCGATCATGTCATTCAATGTAAAATAATGCACGAGCTTGTATTTCAGGAGGATGGCTTCTCGTCACTAACATTGTGACTCATGACTCATCAAGGGACACCCAGTTCTCAGAAGAGACGTCATACCGCGGAATCGACAGAGATAACGCGAGTGAGGATTTTAGTCTCACTACAAATGCCATGAAAAAGTTAAAAGCACACATGCCTTTTACCCAAATGAGATTCCATTGCAGAAAACAAAGGAATCGAATTTTTCATGTGACCACGGTGGCAAACAGCACCGGTGAAGCTGTAGTCCAGTATTTCAGCGGTGAGACGAATGTCCTGCCTAAAGCCTGCGGCTCATTTGTTAGAATGGCTGATGACAACTCGTCCTTAGCAGCAATTTGTCAACAATGGGGGCAAGAAAACCAACTGAATTATGTTGGCAAATGGAGCTGGGATTTATTAACTACTGCAGAATCTAAATTGTACAACCATGCTGCTTTTGTTCGCGGAAGTTATCATTGGATTGCGTCCCCAAGGTATAAAAGGTGGGAGTGTGACGACTTCAGCAGTTCAGTTTCTATTGGGGATTTCTGGAAGGTCTTTGTTCGCTGACAGACTAACACATAACCTTGCAGCCTTGAACAAAAAGCAAGGAGCTACTTAGGCGAACGTAGATGATGCCATGTAGTGATTGCAGTAGTTTGAACTTGAATAGTTCGTTATATATTTGTGTTCTTAATCTAACCAGAAGCGATGTGTATGTTTTTTGTAAATGAGCTTTATGTGGCTACGAGAAGCAAAAGCTCGCCTTGGGTTAAGCTGCTGAGAGTAGCGTAGCAGGGCAAATAGCGTTTTTAAGGTCACACCTCAAAAGGAGTTCCTCGAGTCACCCCCTTATGGAGATTTTCACTTTGCTCATGACTAAACAATATTTGATCAAGAAGAGGCCTGTTACTCTAAGCAGTTGCATGTCGGATTTATGCGTTTATCTCAAATATTATAGCATGCCAATGTATTTATATGTCAATTGTTAGAAGTTAACAGGCGATAGTGAATTTTAAGGATATTGTAAGCGAGAATGGTCCTTCAAAGGACCTGTCTCGATTACTTTTAAACGCCATCATTAGAGTCATTGCAGTATCTTTGCATTATTCTTATTATTAAATTGCGTTTTGGTTTGTTTTGACATACGCGGAAGTATGCAGCAAGCTGCATTCGTCGCGAAGTGTATTCAGTGAAATTACAAACTTTCACAAGACAATACACCGTTGAACTCGCAGAAATAATATACAACAAAAGCGTGCACACTCGCGGCAGATTAGTCAATAATAACTTACTAGGAGCCTTTAATGGCTTTGTCAGCTATCATTACTATCCGCAAGCTAGACTGAGCAACTTAGCGAAGTGCTTCTAATGTTGCTACGTGACGTCCCACTGGAAGAAGTATCTCGACTTCGGCCTATGCCAAAGGACAATGAAGTCACCCCCTCCCTCCTGGCGGTGCCATTCTGGGCCGGGGTGTTCGTACATAGGTGCCCTTGTAAGGGTGTAGTTTTTCGGTATTAAGCTTCTCGCAGCCTCGCTATGCAATGCTTGAAAGCGCACACGAAACCATTAAACTCCAGGCCCCTCAGTCTCTTCCCCATAAAGAAGAGAAAAGTGAATAATAAATAATCGAAGAAAAAAATGATAAATATAGATAACTAAGGAGAGATAGGCACATATAGGAAATCGAACTAATTTTCGCCTAAAATTTTCGGCGCTTGTTTTTGAACATTTTATTATTTACGCTGATTAGGATATTTCATTGGAACCTCTGAGTCGTTGTCCAATTAAGAAATATCACAATATATGTCTTGTCAAAATGCCATTGTCACCGACGTCGAACAGATTTGGTGGCATCTAATTCATCAGGAGTGACACTCTTAAGGTCAAATGCCAAATTTTTGACCCCTGCAATATTCTATAGACGAAACTTTAATTAATTAGGCAGATTTAAAAAAGATATCACAGTGGATGGTGGAAAAGCTGATCCAAAGGATGTATAAGTATGCCAGCACTTGCAATCACTTTTTGCGGGGATGCAAGCTACCGAGATTACGTTCAATTGATTTCTGGGAGAACGACTTGTACTGGACCCACGAAGGAATCGCGCTATTGAATTTCTTAATAACGTTGACTAAATACCTCTCCGAGTTGTCAACTAAATTTTTTTTCTTTGAAATACTTTTGAAATGCTTTTTCACCGCGTGGAAGAAATACGCTTTAAATTATTGCTTGTTAATTTTGAAAAAGTTCGAAAAAGAAAAACAGGCGGAGAAAAAAATTTTTTAAAGTGCTTTTTCATTGCGTAAAATAAACACGCATTCAATTATTGATTGTCAACTGTAGAAAATTCGAAAAGAAAAACAGAAGGAGAAAAACTGGATAACCTGAGAAGTTCGAAAACGCCTCATTCACTTTGCAAGTAAATTTTGAGGTTTGACATAATCATCGGAGGATTGCGAACAAATCTGTTGTGTTTCGTTTACTTTAAACAGTTAGGAAAGCTTAGCGGTCTCTAGAATAAATCAAAGATGTAGAAATAGATACATTAATATTCCAAGTTTGTAATTTTCGCTTTTATGTGTCTTTAAGCCCCCACGTAATGAATATTTAATCACAGTCTTCTCGCATTTAACTAATAAACTTATGGCTCCTGTAACTTCTGCATACGGTACATACAATTGTATTGTTCTAATTTTCCGTTATTGCATAATCGCTATCCTGACTGGTCATTGACGACCACAATTGAATAAATTAAAACAAGAGATTGTGCACTTTAACTCCATAATTTTACAGTTTATATTCTCATGGTAAAAGAGTACAATCGGTAATTTCCATATAGCACTCCCTCTAAATTCAACATTTAGAGATAAAAAAGACGCTGTTCTTAACGAGGAACAGTAAGATTAGTTTGTCATTTTCAATTATAGTTCTAGATCAGCTTTTGATAAATGGAATGTGCCTTTCATACTAAAATCATTATCATGCAAAGTGGTCCTGAGGCAAACCCGAATGTTTTTATTGGTTCTTTCTTGGTCGGGATTTTTTCACAGAAACGGGCATTTACCGTGTATTTTGATCGCGGAAGGCAGCCATTTCAAAGTAAACTATGATATTTAACTGACGTCGATCATTTAGGTTTCTCTTTGTTATTTTCTCGTTGTAACTTGAATTCCAGGGGTAAAGTCTGTAGTGGATACATACCTTCGAACTTTTAAGTTGCCAGTTATGAAGAAAATTCGAGCTTCATTCTGATTAAACTGTTTCAGCAAAATAGTGAATTATTGCACCCATTCAAATTTATCCTTCTGTCGACGCATCTTCGATTTCAATAGAATGCCAGTCACTTTTAAAGAGTACGGGCCCGTTTTGTCAGCAGCATCATCTGACTAACAATGCAAAGCAATTCCATTGGACCACCCCTTTGTAAATTGTTCCAAATTCGACAATTAGTGTGATGATTATGAGACTTTATTCGCCAATTTT